AGAATTTGGCCAAAAACTGTGATGATCCTTTCGGACGCTAAAGCCATTATTATGGACATAAGTACAAAAACATTCATATACTTCTTTCTCATCTTTATAAACAGCCTAAAATGATAAAAAAAATTAACTAAAAGCACAGGTAAAAGGCAACAAAAGCGCAAGTAAAGCACAACAAAAGAGCAAAAAAAGCGCAAGTAAAGCGCAAGTAAATCTCCAGATTTGCTTATCAACTTTTGTTTATCAATCCTTAAAATAATGATGTTCTTCATCCTAAAAACAATAATGTAAGCTAAACAACAACATTAGAACTTTTTTAACTTTTCTGCAAACAAAAAATATTAATGTTCTTCCTAAAAATCACAACATCTAAGATTCTAAGATTAATGAGCTGAAACCTACGCCTTTTTCTATGGCGTTGAGATTGAAACTGTTTACAACTTTCTAGCTCGTTTTTCCAACTTGCGATTAGATTGAAACTTACGATATGTTGAAACCAGATGAATTTTCAGCTAAGTTAGCTTCCGATTCATGCACCACCCCTTCCGATTCATACATCATTTTCGATTCATGCACTCCTTCCTCCTCTCTCTTCGCTGAGCATTCCATCACTTTTCTGCAGTTTTCTAGCTCGTTTTTTCTTCTAAAGCAATAAATATTTAGATCTTTCGCGGGTTTCAAAAATAGGGCGGCAAACACTTAAAATGAAAATAAAGTGGACTGGGTCGGGTCGATCGGGCTGACAAGACATAAAGCAAAGAGATTATAATAAAAAAATCGCAGCCAGGTGTCTGCTTTCTATTGGTGTCCGAACGCGGAGATAGGTTCGATCACTTGACCCAATAATTTGCCCTGGCGAAGACGAATGCCAGGCTTTTACCGCTAGAGAGTCTGAATCATCTTTTTAGTTCCTGGTATCATCTCTCTCTCTCTCTCTCTCTCCATTTTTCTTTGTTGGTATGGTTCCTTTATAAAGAAAATTTGGTGTTAAATGAGAATGGTTTGAATACAGAGTTATATGAAGTTGTTGAATTCATCTCCCGCTAATATGATTTACCAATTTTTTCTGCCAAGCACCCTCGATGAGGTTTCTGCTGCCATATTCAAGTTCAATGATCGTCTGTTTCAGATTTTTAGGCCTAGAAAACTTCTCTACCTGGCAGTAGGTATGTTCTCCAGCATTTTTTCTCTTTTCTGATTTTTTTTTTATAAATGTGAAACTTTAAGGTTTTTTCGTTTTTTCAATCTAACTCAGATTAGATTTAGGTTAATCATTAATTTGAAACAACCATGTGATTGATGGATTCGAGCTAAATCTATAACATATTTCAAGTTTAATTTGATCCACATTTATTTTATATGCCAGTTTGATTTTAATCCGAGGAAGATTCAAGTTAAAACTTAAAACCAATCCAGTTTTAAACAGATTACTCTTATTCTATCTATGATTACGCTGCTTGGAGCTTTATTTCAATTGAACTTTGAAATTAATTTATGCATCTCATGCAATCCTTATCTATTTGTACTTATGGAGTAGCTCCACGGGCCAAAATGAATAAGCAGCGAGCAAGTAGATATAAAACATCAAAAGATGCTGCAATTGCAGTCAACATTTTATTCACTAGCAATTTGTATTATTTATTTGACCTTACTTGATTATGGAACTTAAGTGTTTATTGTTTTCTTTTGAATTTTCTTTTAATTAGCAAAGCGAGGACCATAAATTAAAGAGGCAGTTTGAGAGTGAGTGAAAATAGCTTCCTCCAAAATTAGAGTATTATGAAGTCTCTAATTCAAATGTCATCACTCCTAGAACCAGTGGCAGAGCCAGGAAATTTTTTAAGCGGGGGCATAAATTTATTTTGACAAATTTTTTATCAACTTTTTTCATTTAAGTTTGGATTAGCATAAACAATTTTAAAAAAAAAAAAAAAAAAAAAAAAGAACAAATCCTAGCCATAATTAATTTGTCCAACTTTATAAATTATTTATAACTCAGATAAATACTGATTATGATATATTAAAATTTTAAAAAGCAAAATTATTATTCAGATTTTTTTGAGATTTTGTATTTACTTTTAACTGCTATAATATTATTTTTTAATAATATATATGATCAAAATTAACATAGACAAAGTGAAAGAATCTCATAGTTACCATGTACTACGATTTGCTATATTATATATATATTTTTTATAGATTAATATGTGATGCCGTAGATATTGTGATACGCCCTAGGGTTTCACAATTTCGGTTTTGCCCTAATTTCCCCCAAAAGAGAGGAAGTTCTCCACCAAAACCAAAGAGAAATAATCACAAGATTGTTGGGATGAAAAATAAGAACCTTTGCATTAGAAATCCAAGAGAAAACAAGATAAGTTTGTCCACTTCGAGAAGGGCAAGATCTCCCACAAGAAAATCCTAGAAAAGAACAAGAAGGAAACTAGAAAGAGAATACACTTTTCATAATGCCTCCAACTAAACCCTAATGACCCCCTTCATACAATCCAAAAGTCCCTCACATCCCCAAATTACCCCCACTTAAGTGGGTGGGCCCCTTTTTGTCCAGCCGGTCCGCCCGCCTCCCATAGACCCGCACGGGTCTAGGATGGACCAGGTGAACTGGTCCATCATATTGCTTGGTTTATCATCATGCTATTGATTGGTTTGAGCATAGCGTGCTTTATTGACTGTTTGCCTTAACGGTACAGTAGTTTCATGCCGGCCATAAATTCCAATCGCATATGCCAGAGAGTCTGAATCGTGCTTTATTGACAGTTGGCCTTAACGGTCCATTAATTTCTTTATCAACTTTTGTGGATGATTCTTCTCAGAAAGATCTTATAATTTTTTAATCAATGGAGTGGTTCAGAAAGCCTGAAACAATTGGTAATAGAAGATTCAATAAGAAGCATTATCAGGTTCATTTCTGGTCCATCATCCATGCATACAAAGCCATAGAGTCTTTTATTCTACTAATAAAAAACATCATTGTTTTGTTTACAGTTTCTGAATATTTGGCTATTGAGAGAATATAAGGTGTTCAATTATGTGGAGACTTATCTAATCAATGCAAGCAATGTAAGCCATTATATTCATCAATTTCTTCGGTTTTAGAATTTCCTTCTATGTTGAGCATATTTGACTGTTGATGTGATTTCTCATTGTTGGATAGATCAATACAAAGAATATTGCATATATAAATGTCAAGGGGCTTAGAATTTTTGTAATAGAGGTTGGTTCATACGAGAATAGAATTTTTGTAAAAAGATACACGCTTAGACAATTAATTGGACACTTAGGGGCTGTTTGGTATGCAGAATTAGGAGAGTAATGTATTTACACGCATTTTCAAAATCCGGTCGTTTGGTTGGTTTTGAGCGAAAACTAAGGAATTCCTTGGATGCATAAGCGGTGTATTACTAAAGGCGTTTCACGCGACTTCGAAACCCGTTCAAATTGAGCGGGTTACAAATCCTCTAGCGCAAAATACTGGTTCTGCTTCCTTCGTCTCCGTTCTTCCCATGCGCTCTGCTCTCTTCTCATTCCGCACTCCTCCATTCGCTGTCTCTTCACTCTTTCCAATTCATAGCCGAGAGCGGTGAAGCTTCACCTGCTCATGCTGCCCGCAAGAATCCTCAGAGCTAGCAGAGAGAAGGGGGAAATGGAGATAGGAACGATTAAGCACAGGACGCTACAGGTTAACGCGATTAATATGCACGTCGCCGAGAAAGGTACTCTTGGCATTATTAGATTGTCTACCTTGCTGCCCGCGGGTACCGCGCGTCGCCCCCAACCTCCGTGGCTTCGGCGACACAGACGCCACTTCCGATGTCAATGCATACTACATGTTCCACCACGTCGGCGACCTAATCGCGCTCATCAACTCTCTCGGCCAGGACAAGGTCAGATAAAATCCCGCTGTTATGGGATCTCGGCCAGGACACTTGACCTTTGCCTGTGTGCGGTCCAGAAACAAAACCGAGCAGGGTCTTTGGTGTGGAGACCTTTGGCCTAGCCGAATGCAGAAGATCGGAGAGCAGGAGCTCGTCGTGTGGCCAAGTTGCTGTCTTTCTTCTCTTTCCACACCCAAGAGAGATTCAAAAGCTTTAAACTGTTGTCTTGTTTTTCAATCTATTTTTCTAATTTTTAATGTCTTTAAATATTTTAGGTTGGAGGAGCACATGTAAAAGTTGGGGGAATGGCCAAAGGTTCAGGAATGATTCACCCAAACATGGCAACTATGCTCGATTTAAAACCCATTATCTAATGCTCTATCTGTATGAATATTTGTTGAATTTCTATCATCTCTAGTTTGGTGTTCAGTTTAATCATTGTATGAATATCTTTTTTGACACTGATTGTCTGTTGATTTGTTTGTGTTGTATTAGCTCTGGCATTTACAGTTGTTTTTAGTGATGTGTTAGTTGGCTATTTAGGAGAATTGAGTGGCAGATGGGCTTTTGGCTTCATGATTATTTGGGTACTACTCACTCGAGCAATTATCAATTTTTTGTTTGATATTTTGGTTTTCTTGTCAGATTTTTACTTCATATTTTCTAGTGGTGGTGCTATTGGGGCGATTTGAATGCTAATTACATGGAATATAATGAATCTGTTACCTCCAGTCAATATTTTTTTACCGGTGAGCTTTGCCATTTACACTATATTGATATTTGTCGTCCTATCTTTAGCATTGATCGGACTATTCAGTTGGATGGAAACCATTTTGTTTGCTATTTGGTTTGTCTTTATGATATCTTGAGTATTATTGGCAGCTTCTTTTCTCATTTTTGGTCATTTTTGGTTGTTCATATCTATATTCCTATCAGGTTCAATACTCTTGTGAATTATTTCAAGTTGACCAAGTTGCAACTTGCAGAAATTAACAGCACCATTCACTTTTCCCTCCAAATCAATATTCCACAAAGATGACAAGTCCTGCTGGACAATCACATCATCATCTAAAACAATAACCTTTTTCAAATTCTTGAATATTTCAGGAAGGAGGAAGTGAGAATGGCCAAATATAGATACATATTCAGTTCTCAATTGCAAGAACTCTGTTTGATCAAAACCAGGGACAGAAATCCTGAATTCTTCCGAGGCAGAGAACTGCTTTAAGCCTAGACCATTCAATAAGCTCTGGTTCAGATCCTCAATATTCAGGACATGGATGACTGCTTCATTGTAAGGATTTCTAGCAAACCAGAGCTTCATGGCATAGAAATTCTGTCTATTTGTTATCAGGTGGAAAACCATATCAGCAGTATTCTGTAACAACAAAAAGTATAGTTACACAAGCAGGTAATGAAACGTCGCGTAATGCCATTTATTATAATATAAGTCAGACCTTGGAATTCAGGACAGTTGAATTGATGGTAACAGAAACTGCTAGTATGGAAGGCACTGCTTATATGGAAATGAGTTTCATCCTCTGTAAGATCAAGTATCTGTCTAAGTTTCCTCTCAACATTGGTGCACTCAACAGTACATCCTTTTGCTTTGGACTCCCAGAACGTGCCTTAGTTAATGACAATTTACAATAAGTATGGGAGAACCAATTAAATTGTCCATATTTTTTGGTTCAGACATTTCTAATGGAACTCTTTGAAGCCTTTACATGTTCAACTTACTATCTTTGTGCATGTTTGATATCTACTGATTTGCATTTTGATTTAAAATCAGTAGTTAAATTGACTGTTTGGTCATTTCTAGGATTTGGTTATGAATTCGTCACAAACAGAGAGACGAACGGTAATTCAAAGCCTAGAGGAAAATTTTTTATGGGTATTTTTTTATTTTTTTTTTTATTTGTAAATTTTTATTATTGTTGTTTACATGTTATGAATGAAAATCTTGTGATTTAATTGATTGCTAAATAAATTTTTTTATTTTGCTAAATTAAAGAAAGAAACTAGATTGAAAATTGAAATTTTTGCAATAATTTTCGTAAAAATATTACTTGAAACATAAAAAATTTAAATTTTCAAAGAATTTTAGATTAAAAATTCTCTCTAACACAAGTATATTTTCGTCTATTGCAGCACACTGTTAAATTAATACACAGAATAATTTTATATCTTATAATCTAAAAAAATTATAATAAGATCGTGCAATAAATGAATACACTGATTTATATTTTATAATATCAAATAATATTAATTATTATAAATACACTGATTTTATAAATATATTAGTTGTAATGCTAGAATAAATTATTATAAAAAAATCACTTTTATTTTACTTTGGATTTATCAAACCAAACAAGAGAAATAATTCTCCTGCGTTTATTTTGCAGACAACCAAACAGGTGCAAAGTATTAAGAATGCACTATTTTTCGTGGAAGAAATTACGAAGATTGTTGTAAGAGAGATAAAGATGTAAATGGCGGAAAAGGTCGAAAGTGTTACTAAGGTCTCGAATGATGCTTATACATGAGTATATTATTTTCTTATTCTAATTATGTCCCATGGATTCATACATGAATTCAATATCATGCAAGAGAATTTCAATTGCAGAATTGGAGCTTCAGAACTTATACCAGACTCCACAAAATATTATGACTCAATCTCAGTTCAGGAATTCCAATGTTATTCGGGATATGTAAGAGGAATGAAACTTTCTTTTATATTTTTTCTTGTAGAAGGTAATGAAACTTTCTCCGCTCTTGCTTCCTCAAGGTTGCAGCTCGCAGCCTTGCAGACTCACAGTTCACACCATTTGGAATTTGGATTTCAGATTCCCTCTAGTCTCCACCTTCCTGCCTTACCTTACGCTAGTCGACCATGGTCTGTAATTAGTATACGCATGAATAACTTTGGTTTTGGTTTCTTTTAGAAGTATTTTGCTGAGTTTCAATTTCTGTTCTACTCTTCCTTTTTTCACACTTTATCCATTTGGATTTTGGGATTTTAAAGTGAAGTTGAAATGTATTTGTAGATTATGATTTGTTGTTTTTGTGTTTAGCACTGTTGATGTCTTGTTGTTTATAATGTTCTTGGTTTTTAAGTCTTTTGACATCTAATATGTCAGCATGTCGTCTGCAGGTCGGGACTCGAGAGCTTGATGCCATGACAGAAAACATTATTAGCTTGGATTTTGAGGGAAACCAAATGGGATATGTGAATGTGTCAGGAAATTTAGCAGCCTAAATACTAATGTCAGTACAAGTTTGTATTTATAATTATTTTCTGTGCTTGGATAGGCATCCTTGCTAGACACAACGACAAAGACAATTTTTCCTGTAATAGCATAATTCATTAAAAAATAACCATAAAAAGATGTTATTAACAACCACTTATGTAATTCACTTCAATGAAAAAGAATTAAAAGAAAAAAAAATGTAAAATAGGGCGCCATCGAATGAACAGCTGCTTCGGGCATTCTTTTCTTGTCTTGTTACAAGTATTTTTCTTGACTTCTAATGGTAAGATGGTTGCTGTTGCTGCTGCCATGTTAGCAGCTGTGGCTTTTATTATAATATGACAATGATGAAGAACCATGTAAATTTATATAACATTGACAATACATAAATAAAAATGTTATGCAACTAAGTTATAAATTGAGAAATGAGATTTATTTGGTTTGGACATACACTATTTCACTGAATATATACTAAAATTATAAAATTCGTATTCCCAAATTGTAATCTTGGAGGGCAAAATTTTAAAATTGTCGCAGGCTTGCAGATGTTTCTTTTTCAATTTTCACTAGGTTCATTATGAGCCTGAGGCCCTAAGGCCTGAGCTGGTGAGCCCTAACACATTGAGGACCTTGACTCCTTCAGCTTGTGGCTTTTAATTAATTTTTGTTGCAGGTTCATTGATTATGCTGACTGCTGAGATGTTCATTGTTCAGAATCCAGATGAGATGAATGAGTGAGAAGCTTTTATTGTCTATCAAAATGCAAAATGCAATGAAATAATAAATTCTTGTATTGTTTATTATTCAGAATATCCAACCCGTGTGTTTTGTGATAATAAATTCTTTTATTGTTTATTATTTCATTTTATTTTGAATTTTCCAATTTATCTAATTCCTCTGTTTTATTTAAAAAATAATAATAATAACAAATTTCGGGTTGGCGGGTCGGGCTTATCCAACCCGTGTTTAGCCTGGTCGGGTTTGACCTGAACCCGATCCGTCAACCTGAATTGAGAGCCCTACATCTACTAGAAAATCAATTTAGTAGTAAAAAAAAATGCTTCAAAAAAGATAGGATAAAGCTATTGATAAAAAAGACAAAGATTATATGAAATCAGTTTGTTGATTTAACATAGGATGATTTTTCTTTGGGTTGTTGATTAGCATTTTTAGGCCACAAATGATAAAAATATCTCAAATATGTGTGATTTTTAGATTGAATTTACTTAGTGATGACAACTTAAATTAAATTTGTTTAACCATGTTAAACCATGGTAATTTTATTTTAATATTAGATTATATTTTAATTTTTGCACAATACTTATTTTTATCATAAATTAAAATTTGAGTTTTTTCTAATACTTATTTAAAAATTTTAAATAAAATGATATTATTTATAAAATTTTTAAATATATATGGCGCATGCGATATCGCTAACGTCTCCTCGAGATGCTTGCCGATCGGAGGCGGTCTCGGCAGCGTTTCGGTCGGCAGCGAGCTCTGACAAAGTGTGGAGGAGTTTCCTTCCGTCCGATTACGCTGAGATGCTTGCACGAGCTGTCGATCGAGTCGAATTTGGATCGACCAAGCATCTCTACTTCCGCCTCTGCGACCCAATCCTCATCGACGGCGGAAGGATGGTTTGTTCCTGTCGTTTTTTTCCCTTTTTTTTTATTTATGTGATTGTGGTTTCTATTAAGTCGTGCTGACGCTCTTTGTTGCCAGGGATTTTTTGTGGATAGAGAGACCGGGGTTAAGTGCTTCATCTTGCCGGCGAGGGAGCTTAGGATTGTGTGGGCACAGGGAGATACTCCACAATATTGGAGATGGATTCATCACCCTGAATCAAGGCAATGAGCTTGTTCTGAATTTTTTCTTCTGTCTCTTTTATTTGTTTATGATATTTATATGAAATTCTTTTGTTATCGATGAAGTTATGGATAAAATTTGATTTGTTTTCTGTAGTGGCGTAGAGAATTCATAAATTGACTCCAAACCCAACTCTTTTTTTGTTAGACAAATTTTTTTTTGTTGGTAATAGTTTGTCTATTTTTTCGGCTTATAGTTACGTTTTGGCTGTTAAAATTTGTTTATTTTGAGTTTGTAATTGCCTTGATATGTTTTTATGAAAGTCTTGGTGGGGTATGTGGAAGAATAATGTGTTTTTCTGTGAGGAAGGCTTCTCCAATCTCCACTCTTGTCTTGAGCTTAGAAGCAACATTTTGACTATCCCATGGAAATGTAGGAGTTGATAAAAGTCATTTCTTTTAAGTTGCGGGCATGGTTGGGAACCCACATCCCGGGTTCGAATTCCCTCTACTACGGCCTCGCCTCTTTGGGGCAAAGTAGGTGTGGGCCCAATGCCAATGGGTGGCCTCGCTAGGTTCTGCTGAGGGATTAGTTATGCCGTCAAGCGCTCCCTTTGGAGTGGCAGCAGGTAGATACCCTAGTTCCCCCCAAAAAGAAAATTTCTTTTAAGTTGGTGGTTTAAATAGTGCAAAACTTGATGTAACTTTGAAGGATTAATTTTTAAGACATATTTTTCGTTGCTTTTCGGACTCTGTTTTTATTCTTAATATTACGAAATTGCTTCTTAATTCTTTTTATATTGCAGCATTACGACTTAGGCTTCGTTTGAGACGATTTTTTTGTTGCTTCTTAAAGCAGCCTTCTAGTATAAAATTTTTAATTTTTGTACTAAAAAGCTGTTTTAAGAAGCAACAAAAAAACCGTTCCAAATGAAGCCTCAATCATCAGTTTGTTCAAGCTAAATATAATTGGTATAATCTTTTTATAGATGCCTCACGTTGAACCCCAATCGTAGTAGTGTTCCTTTTTATAGATACCTCACGGTAAAGTGGAATTTCTTCATTTTTTTTCTTTGTCTATAAATTGAAATACTTGAATTATCTTTCCATTGATTGTTTTAATAACATGTTGTTGTGATGTGCTTGATGCTTTCTCTTGGACTTCTACTGCTAGCTAAATTTTTTGGTTTTTTTATGTTGATTTATTCACATGTGGTTTGTTTATAGCTAGCCTTTTGTCTCCTTATTGATGACATTACTCTTACAATCCTTTATCACTTTATGAGGACATAACCCGACTTTTAGCACCTAAGAGATCTAATTAATCTTGCATACCAATAAAGCAGATATTTGTTGAAGATACATAATGATATGCCACTCTGATTAGTTTTTCCACCGCTCTTTAGAGTTTGTTTGTTTTTTTCCCCTACTCAAACCTGCACTTCTAATTTCTAAGGCCTTTTCCAGCAGAACGTCAAACGCGTGTAACGCATCGCTCAATTACTCGAATGAAACGCGAAAAAAATTCCCTAATTGGTTGTGGGTGAATAATGACGTCGCACTATTCACCTGCTATATATATTTATTTGGTGTTAAAAAATATAAAATAAAGTATGAGAAAAGATATACTAGGAATATTCTTTTTTTGTTGTTAAAAAATAGAGTTCGATTGGAGACAAGTTACTGTATTTTGATGTATTACTACATGAGTGAAAATTGAGTTTTTCAGTTGGAAATGCCTAAAATTAGTTTTACCAACAAAGACTCAGATTATTTTGAAGTAAGAATTTAGATTTTTTTTTTTAACTTCTGAAGCATCTTTGAAGAAGTTTTCAAATGCCATTGCGTTCTTGCTAAACCACTAATTTTATTTTGGATTCTTCGCAATTTTATTCTAAAAACTTCATGATGTTATGATACACTGTGGTGTTTATTGAATTTTTTATATGTGACTGAGAAAACTGTTATTTTGTAAGGTTTTCGGAAGTTGCTGAGCTATTGGGTGTCTGGTGGTTGGACATAAAAGGCAATATTAACTCCAGGATGCTCTCCAAATGGTCAAACTATTCAGCTTATCTTGTATTCAAGCTATCAAATACTGCAAGCGGCTTAAGTTATCCTCTCCAGGAAGCTTCTGTCACTGTAGGAGCCCTTGTCTCAAGGTTCTCGGTGCGCTTGATGGAAGAAGAACAATCTTCCAGGCTTCGGCCATTTTTTCCTAGGCCTGGATACATGCGGAACTTCCTACGCCATGCAAATTTACCACAAGAGCCTCTCGAAGATTTACTAGTCGAAACACCAAATGATCCAAATGTGCCGGACGAGGCGGATGAACTGCAACATGATCAATGGCCAGACCCAAATGAGCAAGAACGGAGGGATCGTGGAATGGTTGGAAAACCTCAAACAAGGTGGGATGGGTGGATGGAAATTTTGCTGGGCGAGTTCTACAATGAAGAAGGGGATGATAGGGATGTTACTATGTCATTTTCGGAGATCAAAGGGGGGAACTATAAGAGTGGCCTCATTGTGCAGGGAATCGAGATTAGGCCTAACAAGTAAGGAGAATATTATGGGAAGCTTAAGACAAGTCTTTGCATTTTATTTTATGTTTGGTATTTCTGCTGTACAAATACTTCTAATAATTTTGAATTGTACTTTTGATTGTTTTTTTTGACCTAATGCTCTTTAGGAAGAAATTGTTGCTACGATGCAGGATTACACGATGGGAGTTCACCAGCAATTTGCAGACGAAAGAAATAGGATTGAAGAAAATGGGGCTCTGCGAGGGTGGGACAACCCCGCGGTTAAATCGTGAAATTATGGCGTTTGGAGAGAGAGATTGCGCAAAAGAGGAAGGAGATTCACGGGCGGCTCAGTTCACTGCGCGAGAGGGGGGCTCGATCAAGTTGCGTGAGAGACTGAGAGTAGGGTGGCTCACGAGAGGAGGGCTGGTCGCGGCTCATGATACACCTGGATCAGACCGGTCCATGTTCGACTTATAACATATTATGAGCGTATAACTTTAAATTTCTAAAAAAAAAAAATATTTCTACGCATACGGTTGCGGATAGGGGTGTAAACGAGTCGAGTTGAGCTCGAGTCAGAGGGTGTTCAAGCTCGACCTGCGAGTCAAATACCGTGCTCGATCTCGAGCTCGAGCTCGAGCTTGACTCGCGAGACCGGAACGAGCTGGTGGAGCCGCTCGTAGGGCCAATCGCTGTTTTCCTGCCCAATTTGACTGCATTATCCGGTGGATAAAACAAAAGCACTGCGTTTTTTGAAAAAAGATTTCTAGATCAGCGGTCTTATTTTATTTGATTTTTTTTTTTTTTTTAAAACAACCTGTAGCACTGTAGCTACAGCTTTAACATTTATTATATATATTTTTGTGAAAATTGGCAGCAGCTTTAACATTTATTATACCTATATTTTGAAAATTTACGCTATAGCTAACGCATCCTTCACGATTTCTTTAAAAAAAAAGCTAAATACAAATTTTTTATTCTACAATTTTTTTAAGATTTAAATTTAATAAAAAAAACTAATTACCTTATTTAAAAAAATACTAAAAATAATTCGAGCCGGCTCGTGTGCTCACGAGCCGATCTACATTTAGCTCGGGCTCTACTCATGAGCTCGATAAATTTGACTCGTGAGCTCATAAATAAGTCGAGCTCCAACTAGCTTGCGAGCCGACAAGGCGATATCCAAAGGCTTCCGGAAGAGTGCGTGGCGCATGCGATAACGCTAACGTCTCCTCGAGATGCGTGCCGATCGGAGGCTGTCTCGGCTGCGTTTCGGTCGGCAGCGAGCTCTGATAAAGTGTGGAGGAGTTTCCTTCCGTCCGATTACGCTGAGATGCTTGCACGAGCCGTCGATCGGGTGGAATTCGGATCGATGAAGCATCTCTACTTCCGCCTCTGCGACCCAATCCTCATCGATGGCGGAAGGATGGTTTGTTCCTGTCGTTTTTTTCTTTTTTTTAATTTATGTGACTGTGGTTGCTATTGAGTCGTGCTGATGCTTTTTGTTGGCAGGGATTTTTTGTGGATAGAGAGACCGGGGTTAAGTGCTTCATCTTGCCGGAGAGGGAGCTTAGGTTTGTGTGGGGACCCGGAGATACTCCACAATATCGGAGATGGATTCATCTCCCTGAATCAAGGCAATGAGCTTGTTCTGACTTTTTTCTTCTGCCTCTTTTAGTTGATTATGATATTTGCATGAAATTCTTTTGTTATCTATGAAGTTGTGGATAAAGTTTAATTTTTTTTTCTATAGTGGCGTAGTGAATTCATAAATTGACTCCTCCAGTCCCAACTCTTTTTTTTTTTTTTTCAGAAATTTTTTATGTTGGTAAGGGCATCTCCAACCGAACGCTAAACGAGTGTATGGAGTCGTTCCGTCGCTCCAACCGAACGCTAAAATTTCCGCCATTTAATCGCAGGTGAACAGTGCGATGCCAATATTGGCGTCGCACTGTTCACTCACGTCATTTTTTTGCTCTCAACTGGCAAAACGCGCGAAAGGGAGAGCGATCGTTACCTTCTCAAAAACACCTAAAATGGCGTTCGATTGTAGCATCACCACGCCATTTTGAAGGTTTTGCGTTACTTTGCCGTGAAAAATGAAGTTTTCGGTTGGAGATGCCCTAGATTGTTTATTTTGTTCGGCTTACAGTTACGTTTTGGCTGGTAAAATTTGTCTGTTTTGAGTTTTGTTTGCCTTGATATGTTATTTTGAAAGTGTTGGTGGGGGATGCGGAAGAATAATGTGTTTTTTTCTGTGAGGAAGGCTTCTGCAATCGCCACTCTTGTCTTGAGCTTAGAAGCAACATTTTGACTAATTTATGGAAATGTAGGAGTTGATGAAAGCCATTTCTTTTATATGCAAAACATGCTCGTAAATCTAAAATGCATTTAATGTTTATCTTTTTTTGGGATACCCAAAAAATACCCAGTTCCCTTTTTCTTGAAACTGTATTCTTAGTTTACTTTGCTAGCCTCTTTTAATCTTCTAATGTTGATGAATCAATTTATTTTGCATCTCAAATTGATATTTCAATTATTTTTAAAATATAGTTGTTGTGCCATTTCTTGGAGGAGGAAGATGTATCTTGAACTTTTTGGGAGAGAGAGACCGGGAAGGAAGAGAAAAGATTTTAGGAGAAAACTTTATTTCATTTTCCTCAAATTATAAATCAACCTATAGCATCTATATAAAAATTTTTATATAGGTGTGATGCCTTACGGAATGACTTAACCTAAATCTGGACCAATTCTAACAATCTCGATCTTGATCCAGATTTTACATTGAAAAAAAAAAATTTTTGAAAGAGAAATTTTGAATGCTATCGTATTGTCTTGACCAAGCAAAAACACCTTGCTCTCCATTCCACCGGTCACTTCCTGGTGGTTGCGCCTACACCTTGCGACAGATCTTCATGCTTCTTTGCCTTGACCGAGAGCCACTGCTCCACTTGCTTCCATCAAGAACATGTCGTTGTTCCTTGCTAGTAAGTCAATACATGTCGTTATATGCAATGGCAGCAAAGGCACTGGTACAAAATGCCTTGTTTTCTTTTTACAAGGTATGAAAGATCTTGCGGCCTTGCATAGCCCCCCCCTGAAAATTATTGGTTTGTTGTGGAAGGAAAAAGGGTTTGAGGATGTAAGCAAGTGTATGAAGTTAAAAGTAAATGGAATGTAATGAGAGTTTCCAATATTTTTAGCATAAGGGGGGTTTTTTAGAAGGCCATGATACAAAATTTGGCACGTTTAGCTCGCTTTTTAAATCGTAAGCAGCATTACAAAAATTAATCTTGCATACCATGAAAGCATATATTTGTTGAAGATACATAATGATATGCCATCTTGACTAGTTTTTCCTACCCGAACCTGCACCTCTATTTTCTAAAACTGGTTTTACAAACAAGGACTCAGATTATTTAGAAGTAAGAATTTTGATTTCTTGCTAAACCACTAATTTTATTTTGGATTCTTCGCAAAAAATTTTCTAAAACTTTCTTGTATGATATTATGATATACAGTGGTGGTTATTGAAATTTTTATATATGATTGAGAAGAGTGTTATTCTGCAAGGTTTTCGGAAGTTGCTGAGCTAAGCGATGTCTACTGGTTGGAGATCCGAGGCAAGATTAACTCTAGGATGCTCTCCAAATGGTCAAACTATTCAGCTTATCTTGTATTCAAAGTATCAAATACTGTAAGGGGCTTAAGTTATCCTCTCCTGGAGGTTTCTGTCACTGTAGGAGCCCATGTCTCAGGGTTCTCGGTGCGCTTGATGGAAGAAGAAGAAGAATATCCTAGGCTTTGGCCATTTTTTCCGCCTAGATATATGAAAGATCGACTTCGACCAGTCGAGGCACCAGATGTGCAGGGCGAGGCGGAGGAACCTCAGCATGATCAATGGTCAGACTCAGATGAGCAAGCACAGAGGGATTGTAGAATGGTTGGAAAACCTCAAACAAGGCAGGATGGGTGGATGGAAATTTTGATGGGGGAGTTTTACAATGAAGAAGGGGATGATGGGGATGTTGCTATGTCATTGTTGGAGAACAAAGGCGGGAACCGGAAGAGTGGCCTCATTGTGCAGGGTATCGAGATTAGGCCTAAGAAGTAAGGAGAACATCCTGGGAAGCTAGGTAGCTCTTTGCATTTTCTTTCATGTTTAGATAGACAATCTTTTTGAAGTTGATAAGTCACAACTTGATTAAGCATGAATTTTGATGTATCTGAATGACTTTTTGAAGTTGATAAGTCACAACTTGATAAATTGATTTTTTTTTTTTTTTGAAAGTTAAAATCAGGATCATCCAATCTATGATTTTAGCAAATTAATGTGTGATGAAACTGAATGACTTGATGAGAAGAACAGTCGACATCAAATTGATCCAACTCATAAGAAACTCAAATCAAATATTTAAAGCATAATTGAAAACTTTGAGGCATTAATTAGAAAATCAAAGTATCTCCGAAGTTTACATGCTTGTCATCAAATCGAGCTTCTCAAAAAGATGAATCCAATGAGACCAAAATTATCTAATTCTGATATCATTAAGGCACTTATATGTTGAAATAATATCTTATGATCAAGAGTAGGATTATGTTCCATTCTATGAAATGTTTTGGGTATATCACTTAAAAGTCTATAAATAAGCTATATATAAGTACATGAAGGGGGCTTGGACCTTAGCTTGAAAGTCAAGAGATCTCAAAAGCTTGAAGAATTCCAAAGATCCACCATGAGCACCGCTGAAGAACCACCATCTTGACCATCATCGTCAGACCACCGCCTGGCTGCTTGATTGCTATAGCCAAATCATTACCTAACGACTACCATCAGACCACAATCCAATTGATGCCAATAAAATATCGCCCAACCACCTCCAATTAACCACTAACTATCATAGTCGAATCATAGCTTGACCATTATCGTCATACCACCGCCTAATCATCTCTATCAGAACAATACCTTATAGATGTTGTCAAACCACAGCCTGATCAACACCAATGCCATCCGACCACGATTAATTGATTACAGTCCTCCAACCACTATTGTCTTGTCAAGTCTTAATATTTAATTATGAAATTCTCGATTTAGATCTCTTAACCATCTAACAGTACCACTAATAATCATCCATATGAAATAATAAATACAACGAAAACACAATTTTCATTTTTTTATTTTATTCAAACATATATTTTATTTCTAAAAGAATCATTTACACTAATCATGAATACATCTTTTAAATCATCCTACATCAATACATTCTTGACCACAAACGAAATAAACATAAAAATAAAACTGATATAAAGATTTTGATCTGTCTCAATTCACTAAATTCTTACCCTTCCCTAAAATCACAAAAAAAATATATAACGATCAAAAGCCTAGTAGGTCATCAAAATCTACCATTGCACCCAACGCACATAAAGTGTAACATGTATATAATCATTCAGGACGCGAGTACGCTATGCTTTATAATTTCATGTAAATAGGATGAATCATAAACAATCATAATCATAATCATTAACCTATTCACTCTCTCACTCCTTTAAGCTCACAAAAAGATGTGAAAAAACTCAGAGATCACTTATGCCAATATTCTCCTTTGCCTATTTTTGGTCCAAAGCAAAACTTCATTGAACATATGCTCTTCACTAGAGGTGTAAACGAGCCTAATTTGAGCGAGTTGATGTGTTGTTCGGCTTGGCTCTCATTGATCAAATGAGTCAAATATTTTATTGTGTTTACTTATTGAGCGGAATGTCATTTGTTCAAGAACATAATATCAGCTTAAAAATATGATCCCAAGGCAACAAATTATAAAAACAGTTTAAAAATCAATGATAACATTTGTTTTTAGTAGCAGTTTAAATCGTTGCTATTGCGAATATTTAGCAATAGTTTTTATTGATGTTATGATATTTAGTCATCCTTATCACTTCTATCCTTGAAAACAAGCTTTTATTGTCAATAAAAAAAGTATTTTGTTACATGTTGATTTACCTAGCTTAATTTTTTATTAATAGAAATGTTTACATGCCAAATGCATAACCACCTAACAACTTCTATGCTAATCTCTTTTGTTAAAAATCTTTTTTTAGTCCATTACTCGCCTTCATTGACCATAAAAAGGTTATTCATTATGATTTGATCTAACTTCTACTTTGAAAGCACATTGAAATCCCTTCAAATTTTTATTTATTGAGAGCTTTTGGTGAAGAAAAAACATTGAGGCATTCAAATATAATTTTTATACAAATATTTAATTTATGCCTCCTTTTAAAATTTTAGGATTTTGAGTTATTGATGCCTATTAAAAAAATTGATGGTATTTATAAATAGTTAACTGAGATTTTAATTTTGATTGTTTATTGAATAAATATTTTAGCTCTTTTTATCATATTCTATTCAAATATTAAAATTCATAATAACACTTCTATTCAAGGTTGTGAAAATTGGACCGGACAACGAACCGGAAGAAAGAGAGGTTTACGGATGTAATAAATAATATTATTATTGAAATTTAATGAAATTAACATAATAATATCATCATTTCAAATATGAGACAAAAAATTAAACGAAATTAAAAACTATGAAACATAAAACTTATATAATTAAGTAAAAGAATTATTTTAAAATCTCACGTAAGAGCAATAAAATATATATAAATATCATAATTATAAGAATTTACGCTCATAAAAAAATGATCATTTTAAATTTAAATATTTTTAAATTTTTAAATTTGATTTTTAATTTAAATTTACTTTACATATGACCATATAATTTAATATAAATTATTATTAATTTATATAGCATATTTAATATAAATTTAATTCTGACATAAGTTTATAAATTAATATAAATTATTTTTAATTTATGCTATACAATTTAACATATTTTACATGTATATGTTATATAAAAAAATTATTTTATAAATTTATATCTAAAAATTATTTATATAAAAATAATTTATCATTTTAAATAAATAAAATTATTTTTCTAGTGTTAAATAAATAAATTATTATTATTAGCTAATAAATAAGTATTATTGGTTCAAAAGAATTGGAGCTGGTTTGAACCGATAGGTTCGCCGAATGAATCGACGGCTCTGACTGGTTCAGTCCAGTTTGATGCATAAGCGGTTTTCAGATTGGACCAAACTGATCTTTTGGCCAGTTCATTGTCAAATCGATTGGTCCAGTCCAATTTTTAAAACAGTAGTTATATTCCTTTTTTCATTTTTATTAAATTTAGGATTTAGGGTTTAAAGCTCAAACCTCAGACTTCAAGTAAACAATCATCTCCTCCAAAGAGGGTGAACATTAAACATAGTCCAAAAAAAAAAAAAACTAATTTTAGAAGTAAACCTCAAACACATATTTCATTTTTTAATCCAGTGTAAAAGAATTGATTTAAATGAAATTAAATAAAAAACTTTTATAATTATAAGTGACAATTACGATATATTTGGGACATATATTTTGTTGTTTTGTTTTTCAAATATTAATCATAGTTTTCTTTGGCTACAATTATTTTTTTTATTTTTTTTATTTTTATAGAATTATAATATTCTTAATATCACTAGTCACTTTATCCCACATAACATTAACACTGTCATTGCAAGGTCCTAAGTCCTGGATAAGAAAAGTGGAGGGTTGCATTAGGTAGTTGACAGCCAATGTAAAACTTGTTGAATAATAATGCTATGAATACTTTAAAAAATTATGTTAATGCTAAGGCGTCCACTGGAAGTGACATGCTGTATGATCTGAATACATATATAAGTGTGCAAGGACCGCCGCACTAGCGCCCATGTGCAATGTTAAATAGGCAAGGGCTCCCACATCAAGAATGGATGTTGGAAAAAAGTTAGTCCATAAAACTAAAATTAGGATAAGAACTTAAAATATAGGTTATCTTACATAAAAGTTAAAAGAATTAATATATATTGTGATTCATATGAAGATAAAATATTATGTGCATTCAAGAAATTAAATGGGATAGATAAAAGGCTAAGGAGATTGATAGTTTAATATTTAAACTATAATATTTGGGTATGAGTCGTAATAAAAATAGTGTATGCGTGATTATATATAAGAATTTAAAGGATAATATTATAAAAATTAATAGAATTAAATATATAATTATAGCTTTAAAGATTGTTGTTGATGCTAATATTATTAATATTATAAGAACTTATGCTCTTCAAGTAGGTTTGGATATGAGTTTAAAATTAAAATTTTGAAATTATTTAGAAAATTAATATAAAAGATATATCTTGAAAAAAGAATTTTTATTGGAGGAGATTTAAATAGACATATTAGTAGAGATGTTGATGATTTTAAAAGCATTCATGGTGGCCATAAGTTTGGGATGACAAATGAAGATGTTAAGATCATATTATATATATTTTTTAACTTATAATTTTTTAATTGATAATACATTTTTTAAGAAAAGAGGAGCATCTCATCACTTATAAAATTGGATATAGTAAAATTTATATTGATTATTTTCTTATAAGAAAACTAGAACGTTTAGATTATAAAGATTGTAAAGTTATTCCGAATAAAAATTTATGTACCTCATATCGATTATTAATTCTGGACTTTAAGATAAAAAAACAGAAAATAAAAAATAAAGTAAAATGATATTCTATGAATAGATGAGAACATTCAAAGAATAATAATAAAAATATTTTTAAGAGTAATATTTTAAATCTTAAGATTTTATCTGTGCTTGAGAATGCTAATGTTATGTAGGATAAAGTGACTAGTGGTATTAGGTACTAAGGAGGGAGAAATATACACGTATATATCCAAATAAAGAGATATGAGTATTAAGGATTTAGTTCAAGTGAAATGTATTAAGGATGAAAATCAAACAATTCTTTTCTTAGAGATGATATTCAACAAAGGTGGATGGATATTTTGCTCAACTTTTTAATGAAGAATGTGAAAATTCGATTGACTTTAGTGACCTTAGCATCCTAAATGACCGCTGCCTCCTCAAACCCCTAACATATTCCATAAGTGTGAAGAAAAAATTATAATTCCTCGTTTCTTCATCAGCTTTTCCTCCAAATCAGTCTTCATCCTCGTCGGCTTTTCCTACCCCAAACAAGTCTTCATCTCCTTATCATTATTTCTTCTTTTTCAGTAGCAATTTATTAAGCTAAAATCCTAAAAATATAGAACTTTATGACATTTCATTTAAAACAATTTACAGGTCGGGTCGATCGGGCTAGAAAATAAAGACTAAACGTGAAATAGAAATGAATATCAATGTGTACAATTTAGGTGTAACGATTTTATTGGAGTCTAGACAGAGCTATGTCCGGACTCTGCGTAGAATAATTTCTCGTCCCAAAGGGACCTTTAGACTAGTTGATAAATATCTCATTAATAGTTGCTAAGATTTTGTACTCAAATATTTTCTATATCAAATATATGATTTGACACACTATTCTAAAAAAATCCTAATAATAATCTTCAAAAAATTAATCAACTAAATAAATTAGCTCCCAAATAAATTTATTTATCTATCTAAATTCTGAAAGTCTATCCAAAACAATGGCAATAGTTTGTAAAAAAAATTATAAAAAATAAAATTTAATTGAATTTAATAAATAAAAAAAAGAATCTTTTTACTAACACACTATCATATTTAAACTTTACAAAAAAATAGTTTTTTTATAGATTGCAATCAAATTTTTTATATGATCATTATTTTTTCACAATTTTTAATAATATTTTTTGTTTAAAAAAGTTATTTTATAGAATAGTTTTTTAAAAAATTATTTTATTTATAATAATTTTATAGTCATTTTGCAGTCCTCCCAAAAACTTTTAATTATAAAGAACTACTTATCATCTTAAAAAAATATTAAAAAAGAGTTAAAATTATGAAAGGTCAATATCTTTTAAACAAAATGTCATTTCCGGAGGGTAATTTCGGCATCGGATATTGAGGAGGTATTCCCCTTCCGCCTCAGTCTTCCGGCAAATTATTGGGTCAGGTGACCGGAGCCAAAAGATAAGTTCGGACAGCCAATAAAAATTTGCCGCGTCATCTTGCGCTTTAGTTGCGCTTTTTGACTTGCGCTTTAGTTGCGCTTTGGTTGCGCTTTAGTTGCGCTTTAGTTGCGCTAATTTTAAAATAATATTTTATTATTATCCGAACCTATCTCTGCCTTCGGTCACCTGACCCAATAATTTGCCCAGTCTTCCCTACCTATATTTCCTACTTCCCAACCTGCCATGCGGCCGATCCCGCGAAATCTCCGAGGTTCTCGAGCAAAATTTTTGTGACAATTTCGGCATTCTTTTATCAATTGGATTGCGGAACGGGGTATTGTACCGACCTTGCCTTTTTGTATTGCATTTCTGTTTCGGATTTGGCCTCCATTCCCGCTCCCGACTTAGTTTGATCTTTTTATCGAGGCTCTTGCTAGATTGTTACGTTATTTCGCACTTCATGGGGTCTTTCATTGGGAAATTGTTTGGCTCCCCATTTGCTTAAATAATGGAGCTCAACTTAGAATTATGGGGTACGGATTTGCTATTGCTAGGGTTCTTTTGAATCGAAAACCTCTGGCTGGCGAATTTTTAATTTCGACTGTGATTAGGGTTTTAAAGCTGCAGGACTGTTTTTTTTTTAATGGCCGCGCCCTGTGGGGGTTCTCACTCTCTTTCAGGGGCGGCGCAGGTTAGAATCCATGAGTTTGTGGACTATCTGCACAATATGAAAAAAAAAGAAGAAGAAGAAGGCATTTTTTATTAAAATTAATGTCTAATTTACCTTTAGAAAGAGCCAATAGCTGTAGCGCGCTGTTAATTAGGGTTTGTTTGTTTTTTTAAATTCTCCCTATGTATTACTGTGTTGCATCATTGTGCCCAATTTGACTGATTGGTATCTTCACAATGAACTTTTTCAGGGTTTCTGTGGACTGAAAAGTTCGATGTTTGCAACTGATTTGAACTAGAATGGATATTGGTGCTCTATGCTATGATCATACTGTTTTGTATAGGCTATTTTGATTGTTCATTTAAAGACTTTGTTTGATTGGCTAGATGAAGGAAAAAGATAGGCCTGATTTATATAGTGGTCTAATGACCGAGAATGCCTTGGCGGTCCATGAACTAATGAGCAGTAACTCATTGGCAGTTCAGGAATTAATTTGCGGCAACTCCATGGTAGTTCAGGAACATAGTTTGGTTTCCACAGACCATTCTCTAATTGTTGGGCAGGAGTTCCCTGATGTTGAAACTTGCAGGAGGGTACTAAAAGATATTGCAATTGCTCTTCATTTTGATCTTCGTATTGTGAAATCTGATCGTAGTAGATTCATTGCTAAATGTGCCAAGGAAGGATGTCCTTGGAGGATTCATGTAGCCAAGTGTAATGGTGGTCCTACTTTTTCAATAAGAACATTGCATGGAGAACATACTTGTGAAGGTGTTCACAACTTTCATCATCAGCAAGCAACTGTTGGATGGGTTGCTAGATCTGTGGAGGCTAGAGTTAGAGATAATCCACAGTATAAACCCAAGGAAATACTGCAGGACATACGTGAACAGCATGGTGTAGCAGTTTCTTATATGCAAGCATGGCGTGGGAAAGAACGGAGTCTTGCTGCAGTACATGGTACCTTTGAGGATGGGTATCGTCTTCTTCCTGCATATTGCGAACAGATACGAAAAACAAATCCAGGAAGTATAGCGCTAGTTTATGCAACAGGTCAAGAGAACTGCTTCCATCGGCTCTTTATTTCGTATCGTGCATCAGTATATGGTTTTTTGCATGCTTGCAGGCCACTTCTTGAACTTGATAGAGCATATCTTAAAGGGAAATATCTTGGGACATTATTCTGTGCTTCAGCTCTAGACGCTGATGATACTCTGTTTCCTCTTGCTTTTGCCATCGTTGATGTGGAGAGTGATGAAAACTGGATGTGGTTTCTGTCAGAATTGAGAAAGCTTCTTGGAATAAACACAGACAAGATGCCAGTACTTACAATATTGTCAGAGAGACATCCTTCAATTGTGGAGGCAGTTGAAACTCACTTCCCCAGTGCTTTTCACGGCTTTTGTTTGCGTTTTGTTAGCGAGAGCTTCCGTGAGGAGTTTAAAAATACAAAACTTGTTAACCTCTTTTGGAATGCTGTTTATTCCCTTACCAGTGCTGAATTTGAAGCAAAGGTGGCTGAGATGATGGAAGTTCAAGATGTCATGCCTTGGTTTCGTCAATTCCCTCCTATCCTTTGGGCTGTTGCATACTTTGAGGGTGTTCGCTATGGCCATTTAACTTTAGGGATTACAGAAGTATTGTATAACTGGGCCCTTGAAGGGCATGAGTTGCCAATAGTACAGCTAATGGAACATATCCGTAATCAGTTAACAATTTGGTTTGTTGAGCGCCAGAATCTGGGCTCATCATGGACATCAATTCTTGTTCCATCTGCTGAGAAGATTATTTTGGAAGCAATTGCTGACTCCCATTGCTACCAAGTTCTCCGAGCAAATAAAGTTGAATTTGAAATTGTGTCATCAGAGCGAACAAATATTGTTGACATACAAAGACATTGCTGCTCATGCCGGCGCTGGCAAATCTATGGCATACCCTGTGCACATGCTGCTGCTGCACTCCTATCTTGTGGTGAAGATGTTCGCCATTATGCTCGAGAGTGTTTTAGCGTCAACAAATATCTTGAGGCCTACTCACAGAGCATATATCCTCCACCAGACAGAACCCACTGGAATGAATTTGGTGATGGAGCTGAAGTCGGTGGCCGTAAAGCTGATGTCATCATTCGTCCACCTAAGACACGTCGTCCACCTGGTCGTCCTAAAAAGAAAGTTCTTCGAATAGAAAGTTTAAAGAGACCAAAGAAGGTTGTGCAATGTGGCCGCTGCCATCTTCTAGGTCATTCTCAAAAGAAATGTTCAATGCAAATTTAAACCTTGCATGGTCGCTGTTCAGCTGTAAATGTATGCTTATTCTCATTACTTGCAGATGTAGCTGGATTTTCATTGATGCTTTAGGTTGTTGTGCAGGGCTTGTTACTCTTACATGATTGTAACTTTTCATCTAATGAAATGCAATGCCATTGCCTTTTCATAGAAATCCAAATAATTGTCAGTCTGTTATTGCATTTGCATTTTACACATTATTTCTGTCCATCTTCAAGTTACTCTTTGAGTTATTTATATTATGTTATATGCATTGCAGCGAAGCACAGCCTTAAGGCGATACACATGGATGCTTATGAGCAAAAGGGTTGCTTGTTGCTTGGTCAGTTTATTGGTTAATGTATGGATGCCTCTTTCCCATCCTTACAATGCACATATTAGGGATATGATAGGCATGATAGTCATACTGCATGTTGTGGTTTTTGACGTGCATGTTTGCAACAGTAAGGGCATCTCCAACCGAAAATCTCATTTTTCACTCCAAAATGTTGTGAAACTAAAAAATGCTGTGATTCATCTCCAATTGAATTCCATTTTGCCTCCTTTTGCGAAGTTAACGGTCGTTCTCTTCTTTCGCGTGTTTCTACGACAAGTTCGGTAGAGACATAAAAATGACGGAGATGAACAGTGCAATGCCAATATTGGTGTTCCACTATTCACCAGCAATCAAATAGCGAAAGTTTTACCGTTTAGCTGGAGCTCGCGAGCATCGCCATTCGAGCGTTTGGAGTTCGGTTGGAGATGCCCTAAGTCATTGCTAACCCCATATTCAACTAAGCAAAACTGAGTAGGCTTGAAATTAGCTTTCATAGAAGTTAGATACATACAAGATCCATATAGTTCTTTCAGAGATTATGATAACAAGATTTGGTTGTTTGCAGGAACTGTAGCATCCGGGTAAATTTTGGCGCTGACCATACAAATTCCACCCTTGTGATCTTTTCAATTTTATACATTTTTTATTTTGATTTAGTTGAAGTTTTAATTTTTTTAGATTATTAAATTTAATTATTTTAAATTTTTAGATTAAGTTTTAATTTAATTTGAATTTACATATGATTTAAGTTTTATATTCATTTTTTATATTAAGTTTTGTATTCATCACATTAGAATCATAGAAATGGTCCTAATGAGATTGTCCACATCAAAATTAGATGTCGTTTTGAGGGGTCTCAAAGCAATTGTTCTTTTGATGATAAATATATTATAATATTATGATAATTATAATTAAAAAAAACCTATAACCTATTATAAATGAATATAAAAATAAAATTAAATATAATTTTAAATTAAATTAAAATCAATATTAAAAATAAAATAAATAAATTTAATTTAAGTTAAAACTTAAAATTAAATTATCCAAAAAATTAACAACTTAACTTAAATCAAAATAAAAATTATATAAAAAATGAAAAATGAAATAAATATAATAAAAAAATCTAGTTCTTTTGATAAAGAACTCAATTGTGAACCCATCCAAAATAAGAAATCTTATTTTTGAAGCAAACTAGGGGAGTTTTTAGGGACCCAAAGATGAAAGGTGTCAACATCAGTGATAAATGGAACATGGATATTGTAATAACCACATTTGCATTAATTAATTACAAGTAATGACATGAATTGATCTAGGAAGATTGATATGAATTGATCTAGGAAGATTGATATGTTTAAAATTATGTATTTTGAATTTCTGTGAATGTTTACTCATTATTTTTTGTTTGGAATTAGTCCTAAGGGTTTAGTAGGTTTGAATTAGAATATAAAATTTCTTAGGAGCGCTGCGGTGCTGAGCTCTTTGTATTATAGTAGCATAAGAGGTGCACTTGGAGCGTTGTGACATTGGGTCTCTGTATTGAAGCGCTGTGACATTGGGTTTGTATATGCTAGGTCATATTAGGATATTTTATCGGGGTGTTGGGTTATGGGTGCCTCGAAATTTTGCTTTTAATTTTTTATATAAATATCAAAATCCTCTCAAAATCCATTATCACATTTCATTCTCACAGTTTGATTAGCTGGCTAGAGAGGGGAGGATTTTAAGAAGAGAGCCTATTTTGGAAGTCTTCGAATTGTTTTCATTCATCGGGCTTATTGAGAAAGTTATTTGAATTGAGGTATGTTACATCTACCCTATTTTTATTTTTTAATATTATGGAGTTTTGCTAAATTTTTTGGTTTTTTTAGTTGAACGGACAACAAAAAAATTTGGATAAATTGATATCTAGAAATTTTTTTCTGTTTAACTATTGATATATTGTTCTCATTATTCTATACATTTTGATATTTTAAGTATTTTGATTGGGTATATTGATACTGATGAAAGTTGCTATAGAAGGATAAAAACTTAGAAATATTGTGAATATTACATGCAGATATTTTTACAATTGGTAGTTGTTGAGGCGTGTATAAATTTACCCCAAAGTTTTGGCTGCTCTGCCATAAATATAAAATTCTATATATTTGTGTGATGTGTCTGATACTTTTTTATTCATGTTGAAAGTGTTAATATTTTTATGTGTGATTGAAATTGTGTGAAGGAAGGAAATGTTGGTGGCCGATTATTGATGCTCATGTGCATCCAAGTGGAGGTATAAGGGCCTGACATTGAATGAATGAATGGTACTATACACTGGAAGTCATAAGGGTTTGATACAGTTGTGCTACGTACTGGAATTCATAAGGAATTGATACAATTATGCTAAGTACTGAGTCATAAGGGCTTGATTATGTATCTGTGAAATGTTTGGGAGGTATTTAGTGCCTTAGGGGAGATTGATGTGATGTAACTGGAGATCTTTGTAGTGTGTTTATTTCTATTATCTATGAATGCGTGTTATTTAAGCTATTTGATTAAATTGTTGTGTTGAGGGGGGCAGCTAGGGGCCAAGCTGGGAAAGATGGGGGCGGTTAAGGCATGAGAGGGAAATTTAAATTAGAAATTGAATTGGGGGAATTATTGTATTAAATAGTAGGAGTTGTGAGGGTTAGGGTTATGTATGCTTATTGTTTCTCTTGGAGTTCTCTTTGTAGTTTTGGGCTCTAGATTCATCGTCTAGAGATTGGGAGAGAACGATCATCCTCTCGAATTTAGGATCAATTGTATCTTTGCTTGTTCTTGTTTTTGTTTTGATTCCTATAATACAATATACTATTTTTGGATTGTTTTTATCGGAGATCTTGAGGTTTTCTTGCTATTTTCACCAATTATTGTTAGGTTTGCTTCCGAACTCAAGTATTTCCCATTAGGGGGTTACTTGCGAACTCAAGTATTTCCTATCACAAATATTCAATATAAGTTGAAAAATATTTACAATTTATAACGTTTATTCTTTATATTCTTGAAGAGTTGAATAATTACTTTATTATCAATACAACAACATCAAGTTTTTTTCCCACCATGTGGGGTCGACCACATGAATTCTATTTCTCTATTGTGTCATGTTAAAAGTCAAATTCTCATGTAAATCTAATAACTTCATTATCAATACAATCCAAAATTTCAAATAACAATAATTCTACTGATCTCTAATACTATTTCGTAGTCAATTTTTTATAGTGGCAATTGTAGAAAATGTTTTTTCAACTCTTGCTGTTGCAATGGATAATACTAATGACAATTTTAATAGTTTGAAAATGAGGGGGTATAAAATATTATTCCTGCTCTAAATTATTTTCCCAGTAAGGCTCCCAATATCTTTTAACAATAAAAATTATGCCTCATACCGCCGATCCAATCAATATTACCCATAAACATGATGTTATATTGTATTGAATGGTGATAAACCAAACCCATGATCAAAGTCTTAGGATTTTTTTCAAAATTTTCGTTAAATGAAATAGACCACAAAACTTCTAATTAATTTCCAGCAGGCAAAAAATGCAGGCAAAAAATAAACTCATTCATTAATTTCTATTCTTTTCATTCATCATTAAAATATTTATTTACAATAACATTTTACACACTACAATAAATAGCTATAAACCAGAATAGAGCAATTAAATAAATAGATTTATGCAACTCCACAATAATAGGGGTAGGCTATACAGGGGCTGACTGATTTGGTACAATATGGATTAGAATAGGCTAAGGTACAAGTTTAGCATCAACATATAGTAAGTTAGAAGGAATTCTAGCTAGAGTAGGCAAAACAGGAGGTGGCTTTGGTCAACTATGTCACACTCTAAGATTTAATTGGAAAATTATTTTTATTCCTATTTAACTCGTCATCAATAAATGAATTCAAAACAAACTAAAAAATCCAATTACAAAAAAAAAAAAAAAAAAAAAAAAAAAAAAAACATAAACAACTCACAATTCATTAAAAGAGTCATGCACAATAATCCCGTATAACTTTTTTATCATATCAACTCATATACATAAATGATTGAATTAAAAAAACAAATTTAAAATAGAAACATACCTATAGCCTAAACTTTTGATCTTATCAGTCTTTCCTCTATCTACGTAACATTTTATCCTTTCCTGAAATAACATGTATATAGGGTGAGCAAACCACTTGCTCAGTAGGCTTCTTGAGACCTATTAAAGAATTCAACATTCATAATTAAAATAAATTACGTAAGAAGAAAACAAAAAGTTTTACAGTTTACTTAAGGTGGTGTGGTAATTATACAACATTCTATTCATAAATTGGTAACAACATTACATTTAATTTTTAAAAGTGGTTATGTATCAATAGTATACATATATCAAAAGCAACAACATAATCAGTTCTTGAACTTGTACATAACAAGATGAACTTTATTTAAACTTGAACATAACATCAAAGTGAATTGCATGACATTTATACAGATTATGTAAAATAGTTTTCACATGTATATGTCTCGAAGCTTTCTTATATCTACAATTCCACTTATATCTCTTCTCAATCATCTCACATTTGTTTAGGATAGATAGAAGAATTACATATAACTTAGTTCCCTTTATAACTTTACTTTCACTTATAGCTCCATTTGTTCATCTTACATTTATTCAAGACATAAAGGAAATACTTGTGTGCATAGGCCCCTATAACTCAACTTATATTGTACAAAATATGAAAGAGTCGCCACTTAGATCACTTTCTTTCTCCCCACATAAACTCCGCACAGGGACATGACATATACATTTCATATATAAATATACAAACATTGACATATTCATTATGTATGAATGATATTTAGCATAATGCATGAATACTTGAAAGTAGCATATCTACGACGATTCCAGTAGTATACATGGGGCAGAACTTGTACATTCACTCAATAATAACAATTAAAAAAATCAATCATGGGGAATATTTGTAACATTATTTATGGGCTTATGTTGTTCTATAGTATTTTCTATTAAAATCAATTTAAACAGTAAATCACATGAAAACGACTAAATGAAAGGTTGAATTTTTTTGTGTGAAAATGCTCAAAATCATTTATTTTATGACATACCAAAAATTACACGGTGGAAAGTTTCTCAATTTTTATTAAGTCAAATAAATCTTCGGAACTTTTACGTAAATTGAAAACTAAAGTTGGGTGACAAAAGCCTACCTCAAGATGAATAATCTCTTCAATTGGCTTGATAGATCATTTTTTTTCTTTCCTCTTTCTCCTTTACTAATGTTTCTAGCGAATGAAAATGATGGATGGATGAATGAATGGTTTAATACTTTTAGATATTTATATAAAAATATCAAAATTAACCTAGCTAAGACGTTGACCTCCTCACCACTGTTACGCTCCCAAGGGATTTTCCTTTTTGGAAATTTCTCATAGATAGATACCTTAGCGCCGCTGTGCTGCTCTTTTAGTGCCGTAGTGCTCCCAAACGCCTTAAATAAATAGAGAAGGCAGCGCCGCAGTGTTGTAGCGATCTCAAGGACTCAAGTTTTATTTACCCAAATAGAGAACTTAGCATTGCAGCACTCCCATCCCAATGCCGCAGTGCTCATAAGAAAATTTATAGTTATAAATTTTTCTGCTTATATCAAATTTACAAAAATTCATACTCTTAAATATGCATATAATGCTTATCAGGTTCATTTTAGGTTATTGCAGGTACATTAGGCACCTATGATGCAACGACACGCCTCTTAAAGAGGGTATGCAGTGTCGGACACGGACACGCGTCAGACACGGCATGGACACGTGTCCGACACGGCATTGGAGTGTCGGAATTTAAAACATTAAAATTTAAATCGGACACGCGTGTCCGGTTATTAAATGATAA